TTGGACGGTTGGTGTTTGTTGGAAGTGTGTTGTTTGTAGGTGTGGATGTATTTGTTGGACGGTTGATAGTTGTAGGAAGTGTCGTGTTTGTAGGTCTTGTGGTGTTTGTTGGATGGTTAGTGGTTGTTGAAAGTGTGGTGGTGGTGATAGTGGTGGTGGTTGGCACTGGTAGCAGTCCTGTGCAGGTAACACTGAGATCACTGTTGGTCCCAGTGGACGTGAATGTCATGAAGCCCGGCTGTTTGGAGGAGATCTGGCTGTTGATCCAGGCCTGGTACTGGGATACGCTGGTGTAGACTCCTGGAAAATTCGGCCTGGCACAACCATTCCTAAAACTGACGATTCCTGCCTGAATCCAGCGACCATTCTGCTTGCTCACCATTGGACCTCCTGAATCCCCCTTTGAGAGCAGAAACATTTACTGTTAGACAGAACCATCAGGGTTTATAAAGGGAGTGCAGTAAGAAGATGGCATGTAAGAGGAGTGAACTGCTTATGCATTTCTGTGAGTTCCTTTCCCAACAAAAATACATTTGTTATTTTTTGTGCTTCACATGTTGAATTTGGAAACCTATCCTGAATATAACAGGACCTTGATTGAATGTCAGTCTGATTAATAACACACACAAACAAAAAAAACAAACATTTGCAAATCTACTTTTTATATATCTTGGGGTTTTTTTTAATTAAAAAAAAATTCACCTGAGAAAGCTTGCATTGGTTCTGGGAAAACCAGCTGTAACACACTTTAGAAACAAGTTTAAAAAAAAGTTTAAAAAACAATCACATCTTTTAAACTGTTTACCTGTCCACCAGAGGTCTTTTTGTAGAGCTGTCATGGTGATGACTAGATCAGGGTTTTTGGTTCTATACCGCCCCTTTAAGAGCTGCCTTAAACTAGAGTACAGACAGTGAGCTGTGAGTGGGAGGCATTCCACAGAGATTCTGAAATTTTTCACGTGTGTGTGTTTAATGGTCATGTACCTTGAGCGGTACTAACAAGTGGTTTGGCAGGGGAGCTAGCTTGCTGTATGATTCCTGTGTGTGTATTTGTCCTAACGCATAACTTGTGTCAGTGACCTGGATCTGAGAGACCCAGGGTCCATGAGCAGTTATGGACCAATATAATATATGATGTATGTTTGCTGCACTGTGCTGTTCTTGTGTTCTCCATGCTTGTATGTATAGGCAAGTGGGTGTGGCTGTGGGTGTGGCTGAGCACAGGGTTTCAGGCAGGCTTGGTGGGTGTGTCCCATCTGGAGGCAGGCCCCACCTGCAGCTAACAAAGCCTCATCGGGGAGCTACTTAACCCTGGAGAACCCATGGGGTCAGAGCCGACCCCATTGGTTTTCTAGGGAAACCATGGGGTCAAGAGTGTGGCTGAGCGCTCCTCGGCGCGGGATCGTTGCGTGAGACTCCACGTCAGTGTTCTTTGTGAGCCAGGTTAAGTGAGTGCATGCCGATTTATTGTTAAATTTAAGCTTTTCTGAATGCAATCAGAAAATAAAAAACCCAAGAATCTTTCCTGCGTCCTGTCTCATTCCCCATGACTGAGCCACATATATGATTTCCTGGCTATAGTTAAAAAACTGCATCTGTTCTATTAGTAAATTACACACAGCTCAATATGGTCTCTCTTAGCAGATCAGGTATGTTAAATAGGAAGGAACTGACTGCATCTGTGTGCACCTGAAAAACTAAGAAGAATAATTTGTAGAAGGTGAAAATGTGCCAAACACAGGTAACAACAATCACCTGACAGGAGTCCTTTCCTCCT